CAGGCTGGCGGAGAGTGGCTATTCACAGGCGTAACCACAGTGCACTACAGTCTTGAGGTCTTGGCCTCAAACCATCCTCCCACCTCAGCCTCCTGAGTGGCTGGGACTACAGTGGATGTCACTGGGCCCGGCTAGCCTCATGACCATTTCACAGGAAACATTACCCAATGCTCTCTTCCCTAACCACACTTTGATTGATGGTCTTGCTGTACTGGCAAATTGATCCTGACTATGAACTTCAGTGGCCACATAACATTCCACAAAGATGGACCATAATTCAATCACTGTTTCCCTCGGAGGTCCCTTAACCATCCCCTCGCCACATTCAATCACAGGGGCACCAATTTCAGCTAAGGCCACTCCTGCCAGCCAGCTCCTCCTCCCAACAGGCCTACAGCACTGCCTCAACCCAGGCTTTTATGCTTCCTCCACGGTCCTAAAGAGCAGGGAGGATTCTAACTCACACCCTCTGCCCGTGAGAACACGGTGGCTGGCACTAGTTAGCTCATGTTTTCTGAGTGAGTGAATGAATGAAGACAATTTTTCCTCTACCCAGGAGAGCCTATTGGTGCGACCCTGCCAGCATCCTGATGGGGAAGGATTTGGGGCTGGGTATTTAGGGAGCTCTGACTTTCTGCTGCTGCTGCATCTTGGCTACCACCACACGCACAGATTACACAGAATGAGGAGTGCTTTTCTGAGGATTATCTCATCTTGCAGTTAAGGTGCTAAGGTTTAGAAGGGACCATGGCCTCTTCCTTAAATCACAGCTTCTCCACACTCCTCTCACTTTTCAGCCTTTGCACAACCTGGCCAGGCCTTGAGCCTTTCGGCCAGCAGCTGCATCCTTTGAGTCTGGGTTCCGTGGGCTGGCCTGGAGTCCCACCTCTGCATCTTGGCCTCATGCCAACTTTGCCAGCCCTGTTCCACCACATTCAGAGTCCTGCCACAACCCACACCACCCCCCAGGACCATGATGCCACCAATTTCCTCCCCTCCCCGACCATAAGCATCTTTGCAATGCACAGACTCTGCTTTCCCATGCTCATCAGTGATGCTGGTCCCAGTGGGAGTGCCACGCAAGCCCCTATGCACCCCAGGATATGAGCCACTGCCCTCCCCTGCCCCAGTGTATACGTCTGGATTCCCTAAAACTCTCTGCCTTTTCATCTTCATTAATAGACATCCTTCGCCTGAACCCACTTTCCCTCTCCCAGACCAGCAGAGGAAAAATGGGGCCCCGCTGAAAATTTACTAATACCCACCCTCCTGTGTTCAGATGCCTGCACACCCTGGCACTGCCCCCCAGCCTCGGGCATGACACTTCTTAACCTGTGGACCACATGGGATGTTGGGACCCCTTGGCTTCTCTCCCCTACCGAACTGCCAAGCTCTGCGTGGCCGTCCTCTTAGTCCCCACACTCCCAGGGCCTGCACTGCAGATGGTCTGGGATCTGAGCAGACAGCTGCAGCAGCGTGAAGCCACCCTTGGGGAAGGTGGGTGTCCAGACCAATAGCAGGCAGGACCCTGCAGACCCCAGTTTCATGTTCAATAATACTCTAAGAAGCCACTGAATTCTTCCCAAGCTCAGCACTGTCAACAAATGATCCAGCCCTGGACCTGGCAGGGAAATGATGGAAACGGGACACTCCCGCGGAACCCCGGGAGCCTACTTTCATATGACAGTCTGGATATTCTGGGGTGAGCCACACTGTTGCAGGCCTGCAAGATGTATAAAATGAAAAGGGGATGGCAAACCAAGTGTACATTTTGGTCAAAGATGCGCTGGGACTAGCTGCCACTCGCTGTAGAGGGTTGGGGGCTTACTCACTCTTAATCCAAATGGCTCTTCCATGGGAAGCCTTCCTGGAGCTGTGCACCAGATGGAGTCTCCTACTTACATGGTTTCCTAGCATTCTCAGCTTCCTCTCCTTCACACTCATGATGATTAGTACCTATAGAGTTGTCTGTGCAAAAGCTCACACGGGTGCTGGAGCTGTACACTGCACGTGGCTGTGACTCAGGATTGGCATCCAGGCTGTGAGGTGTCCTGAGCTCCTGCAGGCACCCTAGCAGGTGTGCAGTAAACATGTGCCAACACAGCAATTCAGGCAAGTCTGGGCTCCAGGCTGTGACTGTGGCTGTGATATTTCCCGACCCTGGTTTACCATGCTGCAAACATGGGGCGCCCGAAGTTCACCCGGCCTGAGGATGAGGGCTGGGCATCTGCTTGGTGCCTGAGACTGTGAGTCCTATACATAGTCTTGTGGGGAGCTCAGTGTAAATGTGGACGATCAAAGCTCGTAAAGACCCTGACAGGGCACCCAGGGAGAAGGTGGAAGAAGTGATGCAGCCAGAGACAGCGTCACTATGGGTGCAACTCAGAGCGGCATCTTGGAGGAAGAACAGGCTTTTTCCAGCAGAAGGAGGGCATGTACAGGGCCCAGTGCAATGCAGGACTAGGGAGAGGGGGTTGCTCAAACTGGACACAGAGGAGGTGGGGATGGGCCTGAGGAAGCTGTGAACGTGGCCTTGGTCCTCAGCTAGGGACTCTGGACGTACACCATGAGCCAGGTGAGCTGGCAGAGACCCTGCCACAGAAGAATAGCACGGCCGATGTGCTTCTGTTTTGGGTTTTTAAAGAACCTTCTATGGCCAAGTGGAAGACAGAGAGGCTGGCAGAGACCAGTGGCCAGGAGGACTCTGAGCAGGCACTGCTCTTGGGTGAGGCAATGGATGTGGCAGGATCTGAGGACCTAGTTGTTGGGGATTCTCCCAGGTGGATGGGGCAGGGCGAGGAGGGGTGCAGGGCTGTGCACAGAGGGATGGGGCGAGAAAGGAGTGCACACAGGGATGCATTCTCTTCTTAAAACCCCGGGATGCCAGGGTTCAGAAGAGTTATGTAGCTACAGGCATGGTCTCAGTACCTCACCCGCTCACCGCAAGAGCCCCAGTTCACCTGAGCAGCAGACTCTGACACTCGGCCAGGACCACTGACCAGGGATATGTGGCTTCCTACACTGGTGGCTGCGGGGTCTCCCATGCCAAGTGGGGCAGGGGCTGCTTCTCCCTGTACTAAAACTTCTGTGACTGATCTGGATGAGACCTGGTGAGTGGCAGCTTTCACCTCCCATTTTCACAGAAGTTTTGCACTTTACCCTATGATACAGCACAAATCGGAAACTCTTCAAATATTTCCAAATATCAAAGACTAAAATCCACTATGGGTACAAAATTGTACTAACCTGACTGAAAGTGTAAGGCATAGCTCCCAGTGAACTGCTGTGGAAAATATATCTTTATATTTTTCTGAGCAACATTTTTTAAAATAAAGAAAATTCTTTCTGAAAGGAAAACCCTGTGGAGTATCCAGTGGAAGGAAACTGTAAAAGAACAACACACGAGTGACTTTACATCTTGATAACAGCCTGTCTTCGGGAAAACAGAAGAGAGAAGATACTTTTCTCCTTTTACATCCCTCTACTTCGCTCCTATTTAAAAACCTCTTTATTGAGGTCTGATTGATAGGCAAAAAGCTGTGCATGTTTAATATCTACAACCTGATATATTTAAAGACACGGCACATCCAGGAAACCATCGCCACACTCTATGCCATAAACATTTTCATTACCTACGAAAGTTTTCCCTGCTCTTATTGTTATTTTTCTGTGATAAGAACATTTAACATAAGACCTAGCATCTTAGAAAATTTTTAATTATACATTACAGTTATATTAATTGTAGGTCCTACGCTGTAAAACAGATCTCTAGGACTTACACATTTTTCTTAACTGAAACTTTGTAAAAGGGAAGGCAAGAACTGCTCCTAGAATGGACCACCTATCTGCAGTGTGCAATCAATGGAGAGTCCCATTCCCAGGCTCCCAGGTGGAAACTGGCTGAGAGCAGGGCGGCACAGATGCCAGAGACACATCTCCGGCCCAGCCTCTCACCTGCCAGACCACCAGCACTGTGATGAGCAACACCGGCCCAGCCCTCCAGGACCCTTGGCTCCCCACTGTCATCAGAGAGCTCCCTGGCCTGTGCCCTAAGGGAGTCCACACTACCCACCACAGCGTGTAGGAGTTTTAGACGGCTACAGCAATGTTTCATAAGAATTAAGAAATAGCTAATTCATTTTGACCCTGGGATGCCACTTTAGTGATATGCACTAAACAGACCAAATGTGACTTGTACAAAACCCTCTACTGCCGCAGTTTTTGTAAGTATTTGGAATACTAGTAACTCCACAATGAATACTTGCTGATTGCGTGAATAAAAGGCAAAACATGAGAAAACAAAACAAATTATTATCAATAATAAAATATCTAAGCAAATTACTGTTTAGTAATATAATTAGTATTTTTTTTTTTTAATGGAGTTTCGCTCTTGTTACCCAGGCTGGAGTGCAATGGCGCGATCTCGGCTCACCGCAACCTCTGCCTCCTGGGTTCAGGCAATTCTCCTGCCTCAGCCTCCTGAGTAGCTGGGACTACAGGCACGTGCCACCACGCCCAGCTAATTTTTTGTATTTTTAGTAGAGATGGGGTTTCACCATGTTGACCAGGATGGTCTCGATCTCTTGACCTCGGCCTCCCAAAGTACTGGGATTACAGGAATGAGCCACTGCGCCCAGCCTATAATTAGTATTTAGTCCAGAAGCATTAAGAATGGCAGAGGCATTACTGCTCCTACACAGAAATTTATATGTGAAATAATGTTTAAGGAAAAAGGCAGAGAGCAAATAATATGCTTATACAAAGTACATCACATGCATATGTGGCACACTGATAACTGTGTAAGAATATACGGTGATGGAAGTAGAGTAACCTGTTTGTTATCTGGACAAATGCACAATGGAGACGGTCATCAGAACTCAAAAAATGACGAGCATGCCTGAGTTCTCTCTCTTCTGGCACATTCTGCAGCAGTACCCTTTATATATGTCAGCAGAGGACGCACACTGAGGGGAAGAGAGACAAGGACAGGGCTGGCTGACCTGGGCCAGGATTTGGGGGCTGCCTGGTGTAGGACACGTTGAAGGCTGGCTCCTCGATCAGTGGTGGGGGGTACATGCGCCTCCGGATGAAGAAGCCGGCTCCGCAGCAGAAGAGCACGCCCATCATCAGGAGGAACCTGAGGAGAGTAGAGATGTGAGTGGAGGCCCCGAGGACTCAGCCCTATAGCTCAAAGGTTTTGCACACTCCTCAGAGGTCCAGGACCAACAACTCCTGAATGCACGGATCAGAGGGCAAGGGCAGAGCCATGAGGCTCACACCTCAGACTTGGTCCTCTCATTTTACCCAGGGACATTCCTCCAGTGGATGGCAGCAGGCAGACGCCTGACCTGTGGCCTCTGGATAGCCCCGGGTAAGGCCACCCACACTGAGAAGCACCATAAGTGAGCTCTGTCTCAGTTCAAACGGCCAGCCAGTTTCAGGAAGCTCAGGCAGTCACTTCCCTGCCCTCGGCTCTGACCTCAGCTGGACATTTTAGAACAGGAGATGCTGTCTCAGTCCTATCTGAACACCAGAGTCGACACAGCCTGGGCCTCGCGTCTGCTTCCATTTTCTATTCTTCACTGTCAAAGTACCAAGGCAGAGCTGGATCATCCTTCCAAACTGGGTCTCCACTGTCACATGAACAGCCACAAGGAAACAAAAGAACGCTTCCTGGAGCACATCTTAATTATAGAGAAACTACGGGAACAAAAATACAATCAATAAAAGTGGAATCGATAGAAATATAATCTATCAATAGAAATAAAATACAATCAATAACAGAAGCAGAGCTGAATGCTTTAAGGGCAGCCCTTTGTCCAACACACCTATGAATTCTCATTGACTACGACTTCATCAGCATTCAGTAAATGTTTGCAGAATGAATGCATAAATGGCTTCCTTCCATTCCTCATTTGCACTATACTTTTTGTTTCTATAAAAAGAGGCACACTTTGAGAAGGACGATTAATAGACAAAACTGACAAACTGGCAAAACTGGCAACCTCTTACCCATCTCTGGACTGAAATTATGACGGGCCCCATGGAACCGTCCAGAAGTCATGCAGACACCCACAGGGTGAGGATGGGCATGCAGCAGAGCAGGTGGCGGTCAGTGGTACCAGTCCACACATAAAAGAAGCTTAAGAGTGGATGATAAAGACTTTGAGAATATTAATGTGATGTTAAGTACAAGGCCATCAGCCAGTCAAAAAGTATTTACTGGATAACCTTGGAAGGCTGAGCAGGGAGAAAAGCCAGAGGCACGAGACAGGAAGGACTCAGGAACGACCGAAACTGTGGCCTCTGTCATCTGCTTTCTTATTGATTATTCATTCATCAAGTCATCTTCAGGTGCCTGCTATGCCCTGTCACCACCCTGAGCATGGCAGTGTGTAGGCAGGTGAGGCCCCACTTCACCGACACTGAGCTTACAGAGGAGGGAGACAGATACCAACCTATACAATTACTTATCTACAACCTGATAAGTGCTAAGAAAGAAAAATGGGGGATGCAAGAAGTCTGTCTGTGTGTGTGTGTATGGGGGTAAAATATACATAAATATAATTTACTCTTTTAATCATTTTTAAGTGTGTAATTCAGTGCACCAAGAGGTTTGAACAGTATCTGTGGTGGTGAGCAAGACTGGGAACTCTGGGTTTCCTTTAGCAACAAGTGGACTGGGCTCTGAAGAAGAAGAGACAAGCTGAAGGGGAAGAAAGGTGGAAAGAACACAGCCCAGGTGCTGGGGCCGGAGAAGCTCAGAGCAGGAGGCCTGGAGGCTTGGTCCCGAAGATGGGCAGAGGAAGCAGTTGTGGGGAGCCAGGAGGACCCAAACCATTCAGGAGCACAGCAACCAATGTAAGGCTTCATGTGCTCCACATCAGGACAACACTCAAGTTCACAAAGGGAATGGCTTCTTCTCCCAAGACTGATTTCTTTCAGGTGGGCTCAGTGACAGTCTCACAGTCAACACTGAGTCCTGCTGTCAGGATCTGGGTAGAAATATACAAAAGCATAGAGGGGCTGGATGTGTACAGGGTTTACTTTCTTAGCGCCACTGGCCACTTCCAAGAGACAGGGCTTGGTTGAAAAATGCAGAAGGCACCTGAGATCCTGGTCTCATCCAAGAGATAAGATAACTCCTGGCAAACAGGAATAAGAACATTTCATTTTTCTAGACAGAAGGAAAGGACATTGCAGCTCCCACCTTAGTCTGATGGAGAGCAAGCATAAGGCAAAGCTGGAACAGAGCCGCCTGGGATCCACCTCATCCCTTACTGAAATCACAGTCCGAGCATTTACTTCATTCGTTCATTTTAAAAGTTTATTTAAAATAATTTCTGGTAGAGACAGGGTCTCACTATGTTGCTCAGTGATCTCAAACTTCACCACTGAGCCTGGCCAATAACTCATTTTAAAAGAGAGAAACTAACAAAGGAGCAGGAGAAAGTGCTTCTAAAACAAGGTAAGAGACAAGGAAGGCAGTTCTTGCAGCGCTGGGAGTGAAGGCTGGCTGCTGCCTAGATGTCCTCTTTGGTTGCTCAACAAGTTTTGGAAGTTTTCAAAGGGATTAAGAGAGGAAGTTTTTGCCTTTTTTTTTTAACATTAGAAGTTACCTGACTACTTTAAGTCAATTTGTTTTTTGATTCCTCTCCCCGACCCCCCATCCCCAAGTGCAGCAGTTCTCAATTCTGCAGTCCCAGGGACTGGTGCAGCTACTGTGCAAGCCCTGCCCAGGCCCTACTTGGGACCCCGCATGGGACCCATGCTGTGGGCTCATCCATGGTGCCACCTGAGCCAGTCCTCACTTGGGCCCACTGGGCTTTCTGAGTCTACTCGAGGGTGTCACCAGGCCACCTTCTCTACTCTTGATGATTCCATCTAGATCTCGTCGGTGAAAGGTTTCTCCCGATCTTAGAGTTGGCAGGAACCCTAAAGGCATTCACCTTCAAAACCTTTGTTTTATGGTCAGGAGACACCTTCAAACAGGGCTGAGGTGCCCAGGATGCAGAGCGGCCCCTCCCTCCCACCCTGCCCCTTCCTCCTCTTCACCAAAGGCCTATCCTCACCACAGAAGCTTCCCATCACCTTTTAACATGTCCACTCTTCTTACGCTCCGGCCCTGCAAAGTGCTGTCCCTCTACCCCAAACGCCCTCTCTGAAGACCCCATCAAAAGTTTTGTAGCTTTCTTCAACTTTTCTGGCTTCAGAAGTTCTGTGCTCTGGCTTGAAAGTGTCCACACGCCATTATCTGCCTAGATGTCATCTCCTTCAGGGTCTGTCTGCCTAAGGACCTCTCCATAAGGACCCAGGACAAATGCCTGGTGCCTATCAGACCCAATGTTGATTGAGAGAGAAAATGCATGGGGTGGAACCCAGGTACCCTTTGTATTTCAGGCGAGGCACTGCAACCTCACACCCCAGATGCTCCCTGGCTGCATCACCAGCTTGGAACCCTGTGTCAGAATCTCAATGTTAATGACTCAGCCCCATCTTCTGACATCTGGCACTCAGACCTTGCAATAGCCTGACCTTGTGCAATGGGACTCAGGGGAGCTTCTCCAGATGAGGCCCGCCAAGTCGTGTGCCACCTCGCCAAGGTGCCCTGCCTCTGACAGCTGACCCTGGCCAGTAGCTAGGAAGCACCTGGCTGCCAGTGCAGGTACAGCTTTCTGGGCAGCCCGACGGAAGCTGACAGGCCCTACCAGTTCTTCTGGACTTTCTCAAATTTCTCTTCTTTTTGATCATACAATGCCTGAAAACTGATAAGCTTTTACATTTTTTACAAACATTCCTACGGCCTCATCATCATTCATCTGGTGCTTTAGACCAACCCAACATACTCACAAGCCCGTTCACAGTTCAGGGTTTCACACTCCAAATGGTCCTCCTCCTTCCACCCCAAGGTCCTGGGAGGACGATCCAGAGGGAGGGCGTGCCATTAAGCTGGGCCTTGCCCCGCCCACTGCCGCCAACCCACCAGCTCTGGTACTGGCCCCTCCACTTGGAGGTGCACACAAAGGCATTAACCTTTGGACAGTCTTAGGCTACAACAATAATTCTTCTGTTACAGAGTTTTAGACATTGGCACCTCTGTGGTGTGGGGACCTGACATCAGCTCCCTGGTTCGGGGGACATAACTAGGCAGGGCTTCCCAGGCTGGTCCTAAGGGAGGCCTGGCCAGCAGCTGTAAGGTCAGGTGAGGCCAAGGAGGTGGTGAGGTGATGATGAAAGAAGGTATCACTATTAAAGAACAACCTGGTCACATATCACGTAGAGTCCCCACTCCCTATAGGCTTCCCTAATCAAACCGTGGGCACAGGTGTTAAGGGAGAAAGACAAAACATGACAAAAATTCAGGTGGCTGCTGTCACATGCTCAGTAAGGTCTTAAAGTCTCAAAAGGTCAGTAAAGTCAGAATCTTAACCTCATAAAAAAAGCTTACATCATGTAGAGAGCAAACTCTAACCCTTTTTGGAGTTTACTGAAGGGCGTCACTACTGCATGGGAGAAGAGAGGGAGGTAGGTGCAAGAAATGCTGCTTTGGTTTTAAATAAATCCTTTCCCACATGTGCTCTGCCACCCTGCCATCTCCAGAGTGCAACAGATGCTCGGAGCACCCCAGCAGGCATCCTGAGGCTCTTGCCCACAGGAGGCTCCCCCGACGGAAAGCGCTCCCACACTTCCCAAATGCTGCAGGCACTGCTCCAGTTCCTGCTCAAGGAGCAGACTTCGGACTGCTCCGCATGCGCCCCAGAGGAGTTGGAGGAGTCACACGGGTGCAGGCTGCCTGTCTTGAAAGCGCAGAGTCAGCCGACACAGGATGGATGGGGAAGAGTATGGGCAATGAAAACCTGATCGCCTGCCAGTCTCGGCTGACTGATTCTCTGATTCTTCAGGACAGCCTTGGCTCCATTTCAGAAACTAGCCAAGGAGCTGCTGAAGGATGAGGCTGTTGTCCAGCCACCTTCCCAGAAGCAGAGATCTTCTTCCCACTCCAAAGTCTGTGGAAATGAAAACAGCTTCCCACAAACTCTGTGCGGGCAACTGCTGGTCACAAAGCCAACCCAAACATACCCATTTTCCTGACCAAGGTCCTCAAGGCCACTACCCAAGGGAAAGTGTCACACCCGTGGTTGTGACAATGCTGACGGGGGCAGAGCTCTCAGGGTGGGGAGCAAGGAGTTTCGACCTACCAGAAGTACCACAGCCTCTGTATGGAGAGGGCCCGCACGCAGCACCTGGAGCCACAGCAGTCCTCGTAGGAGCGGCATCTGTGGAGAGAGGCACAGGCTGGTCAGCACTGAGTTGGACGCAGCCACTGAACCAGTTGTGAGGCCCAGGCTGGGCTTCAATGTCATCATTCTTGAAGGAAGAAATCAATAAGAGCAAAGGGACAGAGCTGCCTCCACTGCATTTCACAGAACCAGTAGGGCAGATAGGCATCAGCCTGTGGCCCAGAGCAAAGTGCTGAGGCAGGCACAGTCAGTGTGATGCAAAGCCCTGCATTTACCAAGCATCCCATGTGCCAAATCCCAACGGATTCCTTCTGGGAGGCGGCATGACCAAAGACGGGCATTAAGCCTACCAGGAATGCTGCTGGGGGAGGCTCCGAGGCAGCCCAGCACCTGTATGGCGCTCATCTCTGCTGTCTTCAGTCCCTGACTATGGGGAAAAGATGGAAATACCCCACCATGTCCACTGAGGCTAAAAGCAGAGGCTGTGGAGTTGTATAAATTGCAGGTGTGGTCCTGGTCCTGCCATTTACTAGCTGTGGGACTTCTGGTGAGCCTCAGTTTCTCCATCAGCAACACGGGTGGAATGGCAGGGCACTGCACAGCACTGATTTAGGTTTTAAGGCCTTCATCACCATATCATGTGCTGATGGCATTATTACTGCTCACACTTCATCCCTCCCCTCACCCCAAAACGTGTGTGAGGTTTCCAGGGCCCTGTCAGGGCACAGCTCTTGGGGCTGTGCTCATAAGCGGTTTCAAGAGAGCTCCCTGGGCATGGGCCCTTGCGCAGATCCCGTGTGAGGCATTCAGTGCCCTCCACATCTCTGCCCTTCCCCAACTCTGTGTCCTCTGCAAAGAGAGAAGATGCCACAAAAGCGCAAACCCTTCAGTTTTACAGAGAAGTTTTCACTAGAACATTTTGAACCCAGCTGGATTGGCAGGGATGAGGGGCAAGCCACTTCTCGATAATATTAAACTATTATCTAATTGTGATCTAGGTTCCTGCCAGTTTTTCCTTTAAAAAAAAAAGTAACTGGGAGAAACATACAATTCAGTCCAAGGTCTTGGGCACTGAATGTGTAGATTATTGCAGTACAGATAGGGTTGTTTTATGTAGGAGTGGTGCAGAAAACTAGTTAAGATGCGGAGTGAGATGACAGCAGCCTGGAATGCAGCAGACCCAAGCTTCAAAGCTGCTCTTCCCTGGTTGTGCACCCAGTGGCAGCTAAATCTTTGTTTCAAGGACAAACTGGGCTGAGAGACACTCCCTCCCCGCTCCAACCCAACGCCATTCCACAGACAATATGGCAGCATTGATGTCCAGTCTTCCCCTGGCCCACGAACATGAATTCCTACCCACTACCCAAAGTGTTGTGATTTCCATGAGATGCTCCCATTGGCTCCCACTGACAGTTATCTAAATGAGTGCTCAAGAATGCTGTTGGTCCTGGGTGGGCGCAGTGGCTCACACATGTAATCTCAGCACTTTCGGAGGCCGAGGTGGGTGGATCAATCACTTGAGGTCAGGAGTTCAAGACCAGCCTGGCCAACATGGTGAAACCCCATCTCTACCAAAAATACAAAAATTAGCTGGGTGTGGTGTGCGCACCTGTAGTCCCAGCTACTTGGGGAGCTAAGGCAGGAGAACTGCTTGAACCTGGGAGGCAGAGGTTGCAGTGAGCCAAGATAGTGCCACTGCACTCCTGAGACTCCATGCATCCAACAAGCAGCCATGAAAGGGCTACCAGGAGCCTGCTCTGTGCTTTCCTGAGGGTGGAGCAGGGAAAACCCAGAGGAAATCCCTGCTGGGAGGGGTTTTCTCTCTAGAAGGGGGAGAAAATAGTAAACAAGAAAATATGAACTGTGTTAGACAGCAGTAAGTTCCTTCTATGGGGAAAAATAGAGCCGGCCCTGCCAGGTTGAGACCACGAGGCAGCAGGGTGCTCAGGGAGGACGTGTGTAGCAGGTGACGTCTGAACAGAGAGCATGCAGGAATCCAGTCTGGCAATGGGGGAAGCTGGCAGAGGGCCTCAGTGCTCAGGATGGGGAATGCTGGCCCCTCCGTCCTAGTGCTCCTGGCTCCATGGATGCATACTGGGGAATAGTGCAGGAGCACAGGGTGTGAGTGAGCCCTAGGAGAGTGAGACGCCTGCAGGGCTGCTAAATCTGGGCCAGAGCCCTGTACAAACAGGACCTTCTGCAGTTCTTCCGGGCTTTCCCCTAGAATCTCATTGGTCTTAGGTGACCAACGTGTGTGTACCTATGTGTGTGGAAGAGAAGGGGGCAGTTGAAGGAGATGAAGGACTTCTTGCTTTTAGTGTCGGTGGAGTTTAGACAATTAACTATAAACTGAAAGAGGTGTGGCTGTTTCCTCTCGTGAGTGTGCAAAGACAGGCATCCTCAGCACTCTGGTGAGGTACATGGTGAGTTTGGGAGTGTGGAAGGCAGAACGCAACCATGGCCCCAAGAATGGCACCCCTCAGAGAACACACCCTGCATAATCCCCTCCCCTTTGGTGGGCAGAACTCTGTGAATATGGGATAAGCACTCCCACCATCACAGACAGTAAATGAGATGGTGTGTTATCTAAGTCTCTGCCCTTGCAAACTGGAGATTCTCCTGCTGGCCCTGAAACAGTATTAATAGCAGCCATGTGGGAGGGCCATGTGGCCAGGACTGAGTGTGGTCTCCAGGCACCAAGAGCAATCCCAGCAGAACCTCAGTCCTACAACCACAAGAAACCAAATCTGCCAACAACCCAAATCAATTCAGGAGGACTCCAAGCTCCAGGTGAGAATGCAGTCCAGCTCACTGCTTAATGTCAGTCTCGTGAGGCGGCCCTGAACCCAGAACCCAATTGTGGTTTCCCAAACTTGAGATCTACAGAGCTGTGCAGTAATAAGGGTGTGGTGTTTTAGTCTGCTACATTTACAGTGAGTTACTACATAGTAACAGAGTCAAGGAGAATACAGCTCACAGGTTATGAGCACTTCTTACCTCACACCAGGTTAAGTGCTTCACAAACATCTCAATTTTGAAAGCATCCACATACAAGGTAAGTATTATTGGCACCACATTTGAAATAAACTTAGAAGCAAGACATCAGGGATGTTGCACCTCCAGCCCGGGTCACGTCTGCAGAAGCCAAGAGAGGGCTTGGCCAGTATTTCAGGAAAGCATTTTGCACAGATGCTGCCTCTCCAATAACATGGATCTTTCCACAACCAAAGGATCACCTTCTCTATCCCTACTTGATTTTCCTATTCTTCTTCAGCCCTGCTTTTATAAACTGCCATGGAAATTTCAAAAGCCATGGTAACAGAGACAATATGTAAAAAATAGAGATCCGTGGTCAAATGGCTGGAGGTCCCTGAGACAGGACTCACAGACGGGAACTCAGCAACCACTCTTTAATAATGCTTGCACGGTTCTTTGTTCAGCTTGGAACTGCATATTGACCAGAAAGATTCCCAGAAAAGCCTGGATCATGTGATGTCAGTAATGCTCTACAGTCAGCAGATAACTTAATCACAGAGATGAATAAAGTAAGATGTGACATTAGGTGAAAGGATGGTGTTGACTCGTAGTGAACGGCGGATGCTCCTGCAACATTAGCTGATTTCAGCTGCTGTGAGCCCACTGGGAGACTGTGGAACCATTTTATATGGCTGCATTTTACAAAGGTGAAAAACAACTGAAAAAAAAAATCAGGCCAGGCACAGTGGCTCACATCTGTAATCCCAGCACTTTGGGAAGCCGAGGTGGGTGGCTCACGAGGTCAAGAGATCAGGACCATCCTGGCCAACATGGTGAAACCCCGTCTCTACTAAAAAACACAAAAAACAATTAGCTGGGCATGGTGGCTGAGGCAGGAGAATTGCTTGAACCCAGGAGGCAGAGGTTGCAGTGAGCTGAGATTGCACCACTGTACTCCAGCCTGGCGCCTGGCAACAGGGCAAGACTATCGGAAAAAAAAAAAAAAAATCAGGGGATATCACATTTGTGAAACTTGTATTTTGGTCAGACATCTGCACACATGTACAAAAATCTACATGTGCCAGGCTGTGACATAAGGCACCCTTCCTCACAGCTACTGTAAGGGAAGCCCCAAGTGGACAGGTTCGAGCTTCTGTTGTGTCCAGGACTGGCTCCTTTCGGCCTCCTGGGAGATTCTGGGTGGCCGTCAGGCTCAGGCCCCCCTGACTATGAGGTCACTTTCTGCTGTCAATAGTGCTGGGATAAGGTTCTTCTGTCCTTGTCTTTTGTCTGGGTGACACTGGCTTTAGTCAAATGGCTATTGCCATTTTTGCCCCTAATTCTACTATACACTGTCCTGAAGTGATCAAATTCTAGGAGATACAACTCTCATGAAGACTCTCTCAAATGGGACACCCTGGCTCACTGCCTACCATGAACAGCCTCTGCTGCGGGTGAGGGAGGGGTGAGAAGGGTGGGGAACAGAGGCGACAGACACCTGCAGCTTAGGGGAGCTGACCCTGACTCTCTGAGCTCCGGCTGGTTCCCTCCCACTGCTCCAACACCCTCTGCTGCCTGTGATGCTCCTGTGTCTCTCCCTCTCAGGTTTCACCCCTGAATCTAACGGCAGCTGCCCCAGCTCCCAGCACAGCCAGTGCTAAAGAGTATTAATACTGTCTCCTCAATGCTGGCAGTAATGCACTTCATATAAAAGCGGAAAACAGGTATACGATAATAAATTTGGTGACTGAGTCATCTTTCGTGAGCTAAATTTGCTAAAATGCTTCCCTTTCAGCTTTACACTTACAAGGAAGCATTTGCTGCCTGGAAATCTAAGCCCTACGGCATTCTATTTCCCATGCTGGAGAAGCAGACTACCAGCTTTCAGACATATGTAGAGCCCTCGTCCATAATTCACACACATACACCCCTCAGCCTAAGAACATATCCCTCCTAGAATATTTGGAGTCTAACGGATTACAAGTTCCTCTTTGTTGGCAAGATTCAACATCTATGTGCTCTAGCTCACTTTTCAGAATCCAAATTTGGCACACCAGCAG